CGAAAATCGAAAATAATAATTAATATCGAAAAGAACCGGTGATCTATCAGACACGCAAGTTCTTTAATTAGCGTTAGATCGACCATTTATCGTTATATATGTGTTTTTTTCCCATTGTCTACGTACGTCCTTATAAATAAATCATAGCCTCGTGAGGCTATACTGATGAAAAAGATCTTTTTATCGAATAGATGGCATGTTAAAAGATGTTATAGTCCTTATGTCGAATTAATTTGTATAGAATAGGTATCGATTTTATGAGTGTGAAAGACCATTTATCCCTAAAAAAAATGAAATGTTGTTAGACATCTCACCGTAGGCAGTGTTGCGTATTTTTGACTGACATGAATCAATATCGATATCTTAATTTTTAATTTACAATCAAAAAGCAATAAATATGTATGTATATAAAATTGATTTTAAACAGTTTTATTTAAAATAAAATTTTGAGTTATTGACAATTTTTAAACCCTTAATTTTTATCGTAACCGTCTTATATATACAACACTGGTCGCGCGGGTATCTTAGAAATTATGAATGCAAGAAAAAAAAAATCAAAGTTCTAATGTTTTATGTGCTTATGATTATTGTTATGAATAAACAAGCATTTATTGTATTGTTAGCATGAAGGCGTTTGTTTATATGTCGTAAGATTGCATGCATATTGTTAAGATTGCATGTATATTGCTAAGATTGCATGTATATTGCTGTATTGCTATTTGAATTCTCATTCCACCTTTATCCGTTCTAATTGTGATTTTTTTAGACTTGAAGCTTGAAAAAAAGGATCTTATTAATGTTCAAAGGATTAGAGAAACTAAACATTCAAAGGATAAGATATTTTCGTTAGTTAACGCACTACACCATTGACGACTACATCATTGACGACTACATCATTGACGACTACACCATTGACGACTACATCATTGACGACTACATCATTGACGACTACACTATTGGCGATTACACTATTGGCGATTACACTATTGGCGATTACACTATTGGCGATTACGATTACACTATTGACGCATTACATTATTGATGCATTACATTATTGACGCGTAATTATTATTAAGATTTAGGTGACTCATTGTTAATAGAGTAATAATAATTTCTTAACATTCAATTTAGAAATTCTCTTTTTATCGTTATCGTTATTTATTAGAATTTATTAAAATAATTCCGAGTGTGCAAATGCATTTTTATTTATAAACTGTCCACATATACTTTTACCGAGCTTAACACAGCCATGGCCAGCCGCTTTTTTGTGGCAGTGGGATGGCTATGAAATATATCTAAACCACGGAATAATCCTCTCTTACACGTAGTTGTACATTTTTTTTTTCTTTGATAATCAATAAATGTTCTTGCCAATGGTCTAAATTCAACGTGGTAGAATTAAAACGGGTGCACAAAAAATTAAAAATACACCAAGTGTTTTTTTTTTCATCATGAATCGTCAGCATAAATTACAATTACTAAGTTTTTTATTAGTACCGGGTTTCATTTTTACATTTGTCTGCCCTGTCCTTGGTAAGTAACGAATTGTTTTTCTAATGTTAATAATAAATATATACATATTTTGTTTGAAATCTTGAAAGTTTCTATGTTATTGTTCACACGTGTTACGTTTATATTCGTCATCATTACGTATTCCGCTTTCTTGTTGCCTTTCTTCTACATGTATAATAACCTTCTAAGAATAGAATATCAAAAGATCACAACGTTTGATCAATCAAACGGAGAACTTAAATATAACGAATTCATAGAAATTCCGTAAGGATGAATTTTCCCCACAAAATTTTTTAAAGTTTATGACTTCGATTACTAATAACGAGGAGTCTTTGCCGTAATTTTTGAAATGGTTAGATATCTTATATTCACGATTGCACAAGTCAGTACGTACGAATTCTTTGTTTAACATTATATTCTCTTAAATATATTTATTATAATTTTATTTAAATATTTTTAATTTTCATTATTTTATATCAATTAATTAGCATTAGTAATTATTGAATGTCTTTGTTGTATCTGTAATCACAACTGTAAATGTAACAAACTATATAGGCAAGAATTTTATATTAATTTTTAATCATTGAATTTATGTTTAAATTTATACTTAAATTTTATATTTGGATTTTTATATTTTAACGTTAAATTATATTTGGATTTTATCACGTGAATATGTTTTTAGTTTCGCATCCGTTTTTCTGTTAATAATTCCGGGTATGTTATTAATGTTACTTTGAACCTCTATTATTTTTTTGAAACTCTATTATTTTTTGAACCTCCATTATTTTTGAACCTCTATTATTTTTCTTGAAACTCTATTATTTTTCTTGAAACTCTATTATTTTTCTTGAAACTCTATTATTTATATTATTTTTTGAACCTTTTTATCCCTTTGTTCTTTATGAAACACTTGCAATTAATCTAACCTTTTTTTCGTATAAGCAACCTATACAGCACTAACTTTCTCTGAAATATCACCAATTCCTTTTTCATGTCCACGTTCATACCCGTATACTTCACCAAAGATTAAGAAAGCATGTGAGATTAGAGCCGCAAATTTAGTTTTTATGTGGCTAAATATAATTTGCTTAATAATCTTAGTTATTTTAATTTGTTACCTTCAAACTGATAAGAAAAAATATAAATCTGTAAGGGGAAATGGAAATGGAAGCTTATTAAAGCGAAGAAGAAGTCAACAAAAATCAAAAAAACAATCTGAAAGTAATACCGCTTTCTCTTTTTATAGATTTTTTGGTGAACAAGTTCCTAATCAACCTAATCCAAAAAATGAACCTAAAAAATTACGTCAGAATAATTCAGGAAAAATTGTTGATTCTCAATTACAATCTCAATTACAAACTGCTTAGAAATCTCTTTATAATCTTTATATATATTTTAGTATCTTCAGTCTTGTTTTAATATTTATTCAATGTAAGAATCTAATTATTTAATTCCCCCTTTTATTTTATTTTATTTTATTTTGTTTCGTTAAACATAACGTTAACGTTAGTTAATGCAAACACTGAGCTTTGTTCAGTCATGTGAAATAAATTTAAAATCTAATTTTACGTACAGTACGTACGTACGTATTGTACGTAGTTATTGATGTGCAATAAATGAAACCTAGTGAATGTGTGAATGTATAGGATTAAGGCCAAGGAAGGACATAAGTTATATCAAAATTTTGCAAGGAATTTTTTTTTTTTTTTGTTAGAACGCAAAAAATGATTTCATAGACAAAATTTCGAGTTATTAACGTTTTTTTTAAAAAAAAAAAAAAAAAACGAAAAGGCGTGATTTTCACGTCACACCCGATCCTTCGATATAATTGGCTAAAAATCACGTTTCCGAACAATTTTTTGTGGGAGGGTGGATTTTAAATTAGGGTGTTCTTAAGCGGAGGCAAATTTTTAATAGTCGGAAATAGAATAAATTAACCAAGTGAGCTGCCATTGTATCAACGAGCTACAAACCATCTTTTTTTCTTCAAAATTTACTATTGAAGGTTGCTTAAGCATTACTTTTAATTTTTTACACATCAAACATAATAAACAATGAATTCTCAATAAATTTCTAATCATTATGAAAAAATAGGCACTTTATTTTTAATTCTTGAAGCTTTTAAAATAAACAATCGTTACCCTGACCTTAACGTAGTAAATACAACCCATCTTTTAACCTTTAATCAAACCGTAATGAATACTGCTATTTATTTTTCGTTCAATAAAATTTATATCCGCAAAAAAAAATTTTTTTATTTCTTGATTGCTGCAATGCAACTTTCACTAATGAATCATAAATAGATTCCGTTGCTGTTGCAACAAAAGATTTAAATTGATAAATCAAATTTCGATTGAGTAGAAATTTTTTTAAAGTGTTTTAGGTGGCATAACATAGATTACTGGGGTGTGTGACGCAAGTACATAGTGCAGGTGTATAGTGAAAATCATTAATTAATTGCTGCATGAATTTCGATAGGCGTAAATAGTAAAAACATATAGAATTCAAATTGTAATAACTCTTGAACCAGCAGACTCGCACAAATAAATTTATATCTATTGGGTTCGTTTTAACGTGCTCTTTAACGTAACAACGCTTATTTTTTTTTTTTTAGCTTCATTGTTTGAAGAATAGCGATGATACCAAAATTCTCA